GAGACAAATGGCTTGGTCACTGTCTTCGGTCCATCCCCTCCAGGGTCCCTAGGGTTGGCCGCTGTCGGCAGACAGGCTACTGGGCTAGATGGACCTTTGGTCTGACCCAGTACGGCCATTGTAAGCTCAGGGCTCAGGGTCGGGGGTCTCACTGGACCCCCTTGAATCTCTTGCACACCTGCTCCTGGGTGGCCAGGCTGGCAGCTATCTTGCCCTATCCGGCCACTTTCCTGTGCCTAGTGCGGAGATCGTGGACGAGATCCACGATGTCTGCACTAGCCCAGGCGGGGGCCCGCCTTTTGCGGTCCTGGGCAAGCTCCCGGGAGCCGCCAGCCTGGGCCCGGGGAGAGGCGGGGGGGGGTGCCCGCCTCTTGCAGTCCCGGGCAAGCTCCCAGGAGCCGCCAGCCTGGTCCCGGGAAGAGGGGGAGGGCTGGGGGTTATCGGGTGGGTGGCTCGATCCGTGCCAGGTGCAGGGTCTGCTGGCTGGGTGCTGGCAGGCTTGCACCTGGCCCGGGCACCGTAGCCAGCCCGTGCCCCTTTAAGGGGTCCGGGGCCGGGTGGGGGGCAATAGAGTTTCCCTGGTGTTGGCCAGAGTGGCCACCAGGGAAAGCTGGGGAGGGCTAGCCTCCCACTAGTTCGAATTAAGGGGTTACACACCCCTTAATTCGAACTAGTAAGTTCAAACTAGGCTTAGTCCTCGTAGAATGAGGTTTACCTAGTTCGAATTAAGCGCTCCGTTAGTTCGAATTAAGTTCGAACTAGCAGAGTGCTAGTGTAGCACCTATCAAAGTTAATTCGAACTAACATCTGTTAGTTCGAATTAACTTTGTAGTGTAGACATACCCTTAGTAACCAAGACACATACTAGAACTGGGACAGTGGAGGAAGGGAAGGGGGAGGACCCTTCCCCCCCAAAAAACCCAAAAAACAAACAGTGGAGACTAGGTTTTATAAAACTATTAAAAATTGTCCCCAAATCCTAATGGACTGTACCCTTTCTATCAGCCCTTGAACGAACATCAGTGGAGGAGATAGCTGTAACTGTTTTCTGTAACTGCTCTACCACTCTGCAAAACCGTGCCTGTTTGTCTTGTTCCGTGCCAGTACTTCAGGCCACAAAGTGTCTGTGAAAACTAACAAGCCCACTTTTCCCTCCCTTGACTTCAGTGTGAGTATTCCCGTTGATGCAGGGAGAGGACAGGATGAGGACCAGCAGCCAGCCTTCTTTTCCTGGCACGAGGCAAATGATAGAACTGTGCCCAAAGGGGCAAGGCATTGGGCATTACTTCAGTCTGCTGTGAGCAGGAACAAATTAGCAGTGAACATCATTCTAAGATCTGGATGTTTTGCTGGGTCTTCTGGCAGAACAACTGTCCGAATAATGAGCATCAGGAATCCTGCACAGAGCTCTGTTAATGGCCAGGAAGGAGCAAGAAAAGAAAACCATTTTTTAGACCAACAAAATTCAGGCAACCTGGGTATATTTAAAGGAAAAAAGCTTAAATATATTTATATTTCTGTGTTCAGCAGAAGCATTTCTAAGACTCGTGAATACTACAAATTAGGGATATTAAAATTAGATGAATCAACTAATCAAATAGTCAATGGAATTTCCATCGACTATTCGATTAGTCGATAAGAGCGCTTCCTCTTTGAAATGTAGCAAGAGCTGCCTGGCTGTTGCTACATTTCAAAAGCGGAAGTGCGGAGGCATTCCACCTTTGAAATGTACAAGAGCCCCAGCAGGCCAGGGCCAGTGCTGGCCCCAGATTCCATGCAGCCTTGCAGTCTTTGAAATGCAGGGGCTCTTGTACATTTCAAAGTTGGAGCACCACTGCTGCGTGCCTTCCATGGAGCTAGAGATGGGGGGAAACCGGCTTTTAAGCCAGCTCCTCCCAACATGCCCCCCCCCAATTCTGCCTCTTTCTGTTAGAGGCAGCAAGTGGGGGGAAGCAACTAGTTGACTAGTGTGTCGACTATATGATGATAGTCGATTAGTCGCTTACATCCCTACTACAAATCATAAGCTTTCTTGAAAAGTAGAAACAAACTGTAATATACTAATACTTTGTGTCCTCTACGCTTATGTTTAACAGAGGCTTGGAAGTGCTATTGCAGTTGAATGGGGAAACTGAGGCACACAGCAGTGACTGTGTTAGAGTCAGGAATAGAACAGATTCTTCTGAATACAAGTTCCCCACTATAAATACCAGGCAATGCTTCCTCTCATAAAAAGGTAAAAAATATTCCTATTGAGTTTGTTGGCTGGATTTTGAGCATCTGGCTGGAAAGTGCCAAATTGCTGTCTTATAACAGAATAAGAAGAATTTTTTTTTTTTTTGTAATTTGTCCAGGTGAGCACACAAGTATGTGCATTGTATTGATAAGGTGCTTGAGTATTGATCCATAAAGCTTTACTATGTCTGTTATCCTTGTGTGAAACAAAGATGTTGTCGTCTTTAATTAACTGGAAGTGTATTATTAATCTTAGCCAACGCCCAGGGAATTCCTCTGCTTAAGTGGCCCTGGAAAGTGATCTTTGTTGACGTGCATTAGGTAACAGTAGGAAAGTATTATGAAATGGATGGTGCCAAATACAATAATTCATAGGTAAGAGCTCAGTGGATAAAGACATTCAGTATATCAGTTCTTCCCAAAGCCTTATGGAAACTTGGAGAAAAAATAGCTTGACCCAAAAAAGTGTTCTGATTTCATTTTCTTTATGGGTGAAAGTCACTTCAGTGCAAGGTCTGATGCTGGGTCCATGTACCACTTATGCCCATAACATAGCCCTCTTCCTGGGATGAATTTCACCCAACATGGAGAGACGCTCCTTTCACTAGACTCCAGAGCCATAAAATTGACAAGGCTGCCCAGCTCTGGGTGGGCTGGGGGGTAAAAGCCCCTGGTGGCTTCCTCGGCTTCTGGTAGGGAATGGGGAAGTGAGGGAGAGGACAGCCTGCCAGGAGCTTTTGAGGTAATTGGGCTCCTGGCAGGGAGCTGCCCACAGAGCTGAGAGACTGGGCACTTGGTGGAAGTCCTCCAGGTGAGGACATGTCCTACTGACCCAAGAGGGGTAGTGTGAATATCAGCCAGTGTGGTAATTAATGCAGTAGGTGTGAGTTGGCCTAACTTATCCGTGTAGCGTAGACATCAGCCCTGGTTACCAGGTGCTTTGGAGACTGCAGCACTAGCCCCTAGCTTCCCTGCTGTCTTGTACAAACTCCCATATCTGATTAGATTAACCGCATGTTTAAAGGGCTAGAGAACCTTCCTGAATTGAAGCCTATTGGTGATGGTGGATGGGGGCAGAGCATTTTAGGAAAAGCTGTTTCTTCCGTGTCCAGGTCACCGTCTCTAGTTGTTGTATTTTATGCATCTGGGAGTTTAGGATTTGAGTTTTGTGAAGATGGGATTGCCTGTTACTACTGCATGGGACTAAGAAGTGGGGGCTATGTTGCTAATACAGTATTATTGCGTTAGGATAGCTGCCAAGAAGAATGCAGCAGGAGATCTATAGTTAAACTTGAGTAGGTGTATGAACATTATTCAACTGACAGCTTTTGTCAGTCAGAGTTTATATCCACAGTCCCACAGTCTGTCCTTTGATCTCCAGATAGATCAGTGGGGTTGGGGAAGCTGACCCCTCCCTTTTGAGGCAGCATGTTAAAAACTTTCACAGTCTTTTAAATGCTTGGCCTTGATTTCACTGACTTTATCGCTCCTTTCATTCCAGTACGCAATGACGAAAAACCTGGCAGTGGGAATGAAGTGTGTGGCGTGTGTCCAAACAGTCACAATAGCCAGAACATTTGGTCACTTTTAACAGGAAACTGATACTTGAGCAGAGAGGAGGCTAATAAAACTCTCATGGCTAGAACACATGGAACTGTGACTTGGCTGCAACCGACATTTAACGCTCCCTTAGGTCTCTTTGAAAATCCCTGATGAAATGAACAAGAGGATGAAGAAAATATAAAGGTGTTATTTTTTAAAAAGACATTATCCAGGTGCTTTGAGCAGGGTTGGGGGCTTTTACCCAGGCCCGGCTTGGGTTTAAACTCAGCAAACCATTTCCAGCTGTGGAAGAAGCTGAAAAAGCTTCCTAAAGAACCCTTCTCCCCCTCCCCCCATGACATTTCAGAGACAGGGAAATTCTTCATAGTTATGTGCAGTTTCCCTTGGCCCCTGCACCTCTGAACTTTGTGAATGGCTTTGCCAGATGCTGAGACAGCCCCCAGTGCTACCAGTACCCAGGAATGTGGATTGGTGTCTATCACAATCACTTTGCTACAACACAGGAATAAAATAAGGGCACACTCTGGTGCTGGAGTTTGTGCTTCTGGCCTTCGATTTAGCTTGTCTAGTTAAGACTTACAAATCGATTGCTGAGGGCAGTTCCGGATGGCACATGTACTCCTCAAAGTCGCCAGAAGTAAGGGAAGCAAATGTCAGCCTCCCTCTGTGAAGACAGCACCAACCTCGGCTTAAGGTAAGCCGGCCCCAGCTATGAATGTTACGTAGCTGGAGTTGCTTGCCTTAAGGAGAGCTGCCGGATTTAGTGTAGACCTGGCCTAAGGAGCGGTAAAGGAAGAGGCAGAGATTAATCTGCACTTGACTAAAATTTGGACATTTGAAAAACCAACATGTGTTGGCTGAGCTGAGACTGCAAGCCCTTCTGGCCCTCACCTAGGGATGTACGTTTCTGTTTATAAAGGTGGGAGCGGGAGGCCCCTGTCCACCATTGGCCCCATGTGGCGCTGGAGCAGCCGCCCTCCCCCGTTAATCAGTTAACCTTTCACATCCCTACCCTCAACCTGTTTTTGCAAAGGCCCCCAAAAATCATTTTAAAAGCATTTGCTAGCCCAGCTGCATCATGGATAAAAGAGGCACAAGATTTGCGGGGACATGTCACCTTTCTCTGCTAGGGAATTTCTCTTAGTCACAGACAAAGGCAGTTGTTAAAAAATTATGAGTCAGGCTCACCAGAAATTGAGAGAGGCTTTAAAATAATGAGATTTTGTAAAAATAATAGATTTTGTCTCCAGGGTGCTGCCTGTCTCTCCCCCCGCCCCCCTCCCCCCGCCTCTATCAGAGGCAGCAGAGTGGGATAGGGGTCGCTGCTGCAAAGCAGACCCTGTCCACAGGGGTCCCAGCGGGGAGCTGGTCCCTCCTCCCCATGGACAGGGGCTGTTGCTGACAAGCAACCCCTGTTTGCGGTGGCCAGGGCTGGCCGTGGGGCAGAAGCTACTCAGGAAGTACACCACGAACAGCGGCTGCTGGACTCAGCATGAGCTGGGACCGAGCAATCCTAACTTGCACTGATTACTGTGCCTCTGCATTTTGGATGGCTCCGAGGCATGGGTGGCTTCGGAGCCGACACGAGCCAGGACTGCTCAGTCCTGGCTTGAGTTGGCTCCTCAGGAGCCACTCCTGCTGTGGCTCTGCAGAGGTGCTTATCAACTAATCATATAGTCAATACAAAGTGTATTAACTGTACGATTAGCCAGATAATCGCATTTTAACATCTCAGAACAAGAGGCATTTTCATTGCCTTGCACAGGAGTGGAGATACACATTTTTCTTCTAGTTCTCAGCATCCAAAGGTGAATTGTACAAATTGAACGTCTCTAGTTTGGCACTCTCTAGCAACGTCTGTGGTCCAGCATGATTTTAGCTAGCTGGATGTCCACTTATCATGGGTGTGGCCAGGTTTCCCTTTGTTCTATAAAGTTTGTTTATAGCCGCCAGTCCTGTCTCTCAGTGCTGTTATTTAGCCCGGACTTCCCCTAAATGTTTTCTAAGAGCCCAGTAAGCCGTGGAATAGTTGTTAATGCTGCTAGACCATATTGACCTCCTGTGGTTCAACAAATTCTCTGGTTCGGCACCAGTTAGGTCCCAAGGGTGCCAGACTAGAGAGTTTCAACCGTTAGCTGTTTTTCTTCCGATTGAAGTTTGGCTACTCGCCTCATTCCTGGGGTAGCTGAGCATATTGCGTGGAAGGGGGCCCCCTTTATGTTCTGTAAAAGAAAAGGAAGCTGTAACTGAACACATCTGGCATTGAGTTTCCACATGTTTCTAACTACTTGATAGAGGAGGTGCAGTCCGCCTCTGACGGCACATTTCACCAGCTGCATTATCATATGTAAAAAGCAAAAGATTCTTCTGGGACCTGTTAATTACCCAGCACTGATGTACAGAGAATCGGTGCCCCTAACATTTATTTAATCACTGAGAACAGAAAAAAGAAAAAAAGAGGGGGAGGGGAAGGAAAGGCTTTTGGAATACCAATGTGATTGTTAGTATTGCTACAATATTCCAGCCTTCATTTAGTTTTGTACCTACTACAAACTGCTGCATTAGAAGGGAATTCAAATTGTGACTATACATGGTGCAGTCCCATTGGGTGAGATTTGTAGCATTTCTGTCTTTTGTCCCTTGTCAGTCTGGAGATTTTTATGATTTCTCTTTCATCTTGGTTGTATGAGCACATAGAAAAAAAGGCTTACATAGCAACAATGGGAAGAAATGACCCTCTTCGGACTGAATGAAGGCTAGAGAAAAGAATACAACGTAGGGAAGGCAAGCTCATACAATACTAATAGATACAAAAGGACAAGGTGGCTATGGTCTCTGCTTTAAGCTACAGTGCTAGCTTTCTGGAGCAGGCATACTGTTCTTTGTACAGCATCTAGCACATCAGAGCTTCGATCAGCGTAGAGTAGTGGTGTAGTCGATTAACTGATAAGCAAAAGCTCATAGGTTAATGCTATAGACTACAGGCATTTCACACACACACCTTTGCCAGTACATTTTTTAGCAGCTGGCCAGCAGCCTCGGTCAGTCCTGGCTTGCACTGGGTCCTGGACCTACCCCCATTGCGGCTCTGCATTTAAAGTGTATTAGGAGCCAGGCAGGCAGGCAGTCCGGCTCAGTTCCAACTCACGCGGGTCTGGGGGCTCAGACCTGTACGGCCAGGGGCCCCACAGTATCAGAGGCAGCAGCGCAGGGCGATAGGCAGCCCGTCCGCGAGGGGAGCTGGTTTTTAAACTGGCTCCCTTCACGGACCAGCTCCTGCCTCGCACTCCTCGTGCTGCTGCCTCTGATACTGAGGTAGCAGCGCAGAGTGGTAGGGGGCTCCTCGGGAGCGGTGCCAGAGTGCACTGGCTGCCAGCTCCACCCCCAGGGACCATAGAATAGTCAAATAACCGGTAAGAATTCATGGAGTTAATGGACTATTCAAGTAACTGATATTTAACATCCTTAGATCAGGGCCCCTACAGGCTACTATATTAAAAATAAGGTGGATGCGGTAATATTTATTGGACCAACTTCTGTTAGTGAAATAGCCAAGCTTTCAGGCCACACAAAGCACTTATGGAGGTCCAGGAAAGATATGCAGTCACAGCTAAATGCAAGGTGGAATAGATTGCTTAGCATAAGTAGTTAGCACATATTCTAAGGAACCATTCACGGTGAAGTGGCTTCTTAACAACCCCGTGGTCATGGTGGGGGAAGTTGTAGATTAGTATCCAGCAAAGTTGTGAGCTCGCAGGCTCATCTTCTGAAGATACTGTGCAGGTTTCCTTTGAGGACGAGGTTGACAGGGCAGATACAGAGTGATCGTTTTATGAAAAGCATGCACTCATGGATGAAAACTTTGCTAGATGCTAAAAATCGCAGTCGTCTGAGTGCTTGTCTACACCAGAAACGTAGCTGTATCTGTGCTGCTGTAGCGCTTCAGTCTAGGCATAACTTCGCCTATCAGCCCAGGTAATCCACCTCTTTGAGAAGAAGTCTTCTGACATGGTGCTGTCTACACCAGGGTTTAGGTTGGCTTAACTACATTGCTCAGAGATGTGGCTTTTTCACACCCCTGAGGAATGTGGCTGGGTTGATTTAACTTTTGAGTGTAGAAACCTGTGGCTGGCCTGTGCTAGCCAGCTCAGGTTTATGGGGCTCCAGCTAAGGGGCCATTTAATAGGGATGTAGATCGGGCTCGGGCAGCAGCCGGGCTCTGGAACACAATGTTCTCTCTATCCATGTTCTATCCATGTGCAGAGTGAATTTTATCTGCACCAATATGGAGCTGATGTGTGGTGGGGTTGGAACTTCGGAGTGTGGAAAGGGGGGCTCAGCGCTGGGGCAGTGGGTTGGGGCACAGGGGAGAGGGGATGAGGGTTCCAGCTGGGTATGCAGGCGCTGGGTTTTGGGATGTGGGAGGAGGCTGAGGGCTAGGGCAGGGGGTTGGGCTTGGGGTGCAGGCTCTGGTTCGGGGGTGTGTCCTCTGGGGTGGAGTTGGGGATGAGGGGTTTGCCCTGGAGCTGGGGCCAGAGCATTCCTTCCAGCCCTCTCCCTACAGGCAACAGCCACAGGTTTGGGGCTAGAAGACTGTTCCCCTCTCCCCACCTGCAGCCACTCTGGGATCAAAGGAGAGGCCTACAGCAGCCCTGCACACCCCAACTTGCTCCTCTCCCTGCCTCTCCCCTCTCTAGGCTACTCTCCCTGGGTATGTCTACACTACAAAGTTAATTCGAACTAACCGACGTTAGTTCGAATTAACTTTGATAGGCGCTACACAAGCGCTCCGCTAGTTCCCCCCCCCCCCCCCAGCCACTCTGGGAAAAAGGGAGAGGCCTACAGCAGCCCTGCACACCCCAACTTGCTCCTCTCCCTGCCTCTCCCCTCTCTAGGCTACTCTCCCTGGGTATGTCTACACTACAGCGCTAATTCGAACTAACTTAGTTAGAATTAGTTAACTAACTTAGTTCGAATTAGTGCAGCTAGACTTAAAAACTAGTTGGAATTAGTGTTTTGCTAATTCGAACTAGCATGTCCACACAGAGTGGACCCTGAACAGAGGTTAAGGCTGGCCGGAAGCAGTGCCGGCAGGGCATCAGATGAGCACTTAGAGCGTGGAGCTGCTGTCTCAGGCTAGCCGAGGGCTGTGCTTAAAGGGACCCTACCCCCACCCCGGACAGATCAGATGAGCACTTAGAGCGTGGAGCTGCTGTCTCAGGCTAGCCGAGGGCTGTGCTTAAAGGGATCCGACCCCCACCCCGGACAGACAGTTCTCAGGGT